GACTATAGCCTAGGCTATAGACTAGACTATATACTAGACTATATACTAGACTATAGACTAGACTATACTAGACTATAGACTAGACTAGACTAGACTATAGTAGACTAGACTAGACTATAGAGTAGACTATAGACTAGACTATAGAGTAGACTATAGACTAGACTATAGACTAGACTATAGACTAGACTATAGACTAGACTATAGACTAGACTATAGACTAGACTATAGACTAGACTATAGACTAGACTATAGACTAGACTATAGACTAGACTATAGACTAGACTATATAGACTATAGATTAGACTATAGAGTAGACTATAGACTAGACTATAGATTAGACTATAGAGTAGACTATAGACTAGACTATAGACTATAACTATAGACTATAGTCTAGACTATAGACTAGACTATAGACTAGACTATAGACTAGACTATAGACTAGACTATAGACTAGAATACTGTAGACTAGACTAAAGACTAGACTATAGACTAGACTAGACTATAGACTAGACTATAGACTAGACTATAGACTAGACTATAGACTAGACTATAGACTAGACTATAGACTAGACTATAGACTAGACTATAGACTAGACTATAGACTAGACTATAGACTAGACTATAGACTAGACTATAGACTAGACTATAGACTAGACTATAGACTAGACTATAGACTAGACTATAGACTAGACTATAGACTAGACTATAGACTAGACTATAGACTAGACTATAGACTAGACTATAGACTAGACTATAGACTAGACTATAGACTAGACTATAGACTAGACTATAGACTAGACTATAGACTAGACTATAGACTAGACTATAGACTAGACTATAGACTAGACTATAGACTAGACTATAGACTAGACTATAGACTAGACTATAGACTAGACTATAGACTAGACTATAGACTAGACTATAGACTAGACTATAGACTAGACTATAGACTAGACTATAGACTAGACTATAGACTAGACTATAGACTAGACTATAGACTAGACTATAGACTAGACTATAGACTAGACTATAGACTAGACTATAGACTAGACTATAGACTAGACTATAGACTAGACTATAGACTAGACTATAGACTAGACTATAGACTAGACTATAGACTAGACTATAGACTAGACTATAGATTAGACTATAGACTAGACTATAGACTAGACTATAGACTAGACTATAGACTAGACTATAGACTAGACTATAGACTAGACTATAGACTAGACTATAGACTAGACTATAGACTAGACTCTAGTCTAGACTCTAGTCTAGACGCTAGTCTAGACTATAACTACACTATAGACTACACTATAGACTAGACTGTAGACTAGACTATAGAGTAGACTATAGACTAGACTATAGACTAGACTATAGACTAGACTATAGATTAGACTATAGACTAGACTATAGACTAGACTATAGACTAGACTATAGACTAGACTATAGACTAGACTAGGCTATTGACTAGACTTTAGTCTAGACTATAGGCTAGATTATAAACTAAACTATAGAGTAGTCTAGACTATAGACTAGACTATTGTCTAGACTGCATACTTGACTATAGACTAGACTAAAGATTACACTATAAATTAGACTACAGACTAGAGTATAGGCTAGACTATAGACTAGGCTATAGACTAGACTGCATACTTGACTATAGACTAGACTATAGACTTGACTATAGAATAGACTATAGACTAGACTATGTACTTGATTGCATACTTGACTATAGACTAGAAGGAGACTAGGCAATAGACTAGGCTATTGATTAGATTATAGACTAGACTATAAACTAGATTTTAGGCTAGACTATAGATTAAACTAGACTATAGTCCAGTCTATAGTAGTGGAGATAACTAAGACCCTTGAAGACTGTTCTAATAATATTTTCCCTTGTTTTTCTCTCAGATACGGTTTACCAGTTAATTTCCAAGCCATTCTTATTGAACCCAACAAGAAGAGCATGAAACGTTTACGTGATTGCTTAAATCAATTGTATGGACACTTGGATGGTGCTTCAGCTGCTGGTCAAGCTGGCAATGCTGCTGATGTAAGTCATAATGTTTACATTGAATGTAATGAATAGCTATATAATATTTTATTGTTTCTTCCCTACCTCCATTCACAGACTGTTGATATACCCGGTTTAGGTTTTGGCCAATCTGAATACTATCCCTATGTATTCTATAAACTCAACATTGATATGATTGAATCAGCTAAAATGTAAAAAAAAAAAAATAAACTAAATGAAATGTTTGTTAATTTTAAGAACAAACCTCTGCTAGAAGACATTCTAATTAAGAAAAAGTCAAAAAACAAAACGTTTAAAAACCCCAACTAAAGAACATAAACCACAATAAATACAAAAACAACCTTCTTAAGTAATGTTTAGCTTAATTTTTAACTACAAAAAAAAACAAATAATATATAATAGATGTATTTGTAAAATTTAAAAAAAGAAGAGTAAGAATGAAACTAAACTATCAACCAACTAACCAAATGTATATGTATTGTAAAAAAAACCCTCTTTAACCTACACCAACAACATTTTAATTAAGAATTATAACAAAGAAACAATTAAATAGCAGTTTATAACAGCTAATTTGGAATATAAAGCTGTGGCGGCGGCTTTTTTTTCTCTATCAAACATCTTCAACAACAACTGTTCATCCAGTTCATATTTCTAACTCTTATATTGTTATTTTGTTTTTTATTAACGTTTCCTTTTATCTTGTTTTATTTTGTTTTTTTTTTTATTACAACAATATAAATTAAGTTACAATTTGTGTTTCCATAATTGTTTTCTTTTTATTCCTTTACGTTTTCTTTGTATTTAAGTTAAAAAAAAAAAGAAAAATAAAAAAAATCTTTTTAAAATTTCCTGTTTTGTTTAAACAATTTGTTAACAGTATTTTGTGTATAATAATTGCAAAGAAAAATATATGTATATTATAAATAAAGAAATAAAACTATAATTATTTAATTTTACAATAAAATGAAAAAAGTTTCTTTAAAAATTATTATGAAACTAGATTTTTTGTTTGATATCAAATTAAATTTTCAAGACAAATGAGACGATATAATCTTGCAGTCTTTTTGGATTAGTCTATTGAGCAGACTATGGACTATTCTATTGACTAGACTATGGACTAGTATATAGACTAAGTCTAGTCTGTTGACCATATAATTCTGTTCTGTTGACTAGTCTATTGAATAATTTGTGGACTAATCTTCTGATTAGCCTATTATCTAGTCTGTGGACTGGTTTGTGAACTAATCTCAATATCGAGCTATAGTCTAGTTTGTTTACCAAATTGTTGATCTGTGGATAGTTATTGATTTGTTTGAGGACTAGTCTATTGACGCGTCTGTGGACTAATCTATTAACTAGTTTGTGGAATATTCTATTGTTTAGTTTATGGTCTAGTCTATTGAGTAGTTTATTTGATTGTACTGTCTAGGGACTAGTATGTAGAGTAATCTGGGGGGCTAGTCTATTGACTAGTGTTTAGACAAACCTTTTGACTAGTTTGTGGACTAGTTTTAGGACTAGTCTATTGGCTAGTCATTGGATTAGTTTATTGACTAGTCTATTGTTTATCTTTGAACCAGTCTATTGATTAAATTATTGATCTGTGTACTAGTCTATTGATTAGCCTGTGGACTAGCCCATTGATAAGTCTAGTCCATTGATTAGTTGTCTATTGCCTAGTTTATGGACCATTCGATGGACTAGTCGGTGGACTAGTATTTTGAGTTGTCTGTGTACTAGTCTATTGCCTGTCTATGTATGGGCTAGTCTATTGACTAGTTTGTGGACAAGTCTATGACTAGTTTGTGGACAAGTCTATTGACTAGTTTGTGGACAAGTCTATTGACTAGTCTGTGGACAAGTCTATTGACTGGTCTGTGTATTAGGCTATTGGCTAGTCTGTAGACTAATCTATTAGCTAGTCAATGAACTAGTACTCGAACTAGTTTATCGACTATTCCAAAGGACTATTCTACTGACAAGTATACGAACTAGTCCTTTGATTACTAGTCGATTGTCTAGTCTGTGGACTACTCTATCGACTAGTCTATGAATTAGTTTTTTAAATAGTAAAATCTTTACCTAGCTGTTTATTACATCATTAATCATATACTAGTCCATTAGCTATCCCGTGGACTAGTTTATTGACTAGTCTGTGGACTAAGCTCAATCTCCGCCTATCGTTTAATAATCCATAAAACTTTTTATTATTTTTTAATTACAGATAATTTAGTTCTATTAAATTCTAAAAAAAACTATAACGACATAAATACATACATATTTGCATATACATACATACATACATACATAAATACATATTTAGAAAAATAAATTTGCATTAATAAAAAACATGATATCTTAAGTGTTATTAAATTCATCAAGTTACAATAATAATTTTTCTAACAATAACTATTTTAAATAAAAGAAATAATATATATATGATTATTAAATAATATGTTTATTATTGACAAATAAAAATCTTAACGAATTTGCTTAAATTACATATAAATATTCATGTAAAGAAACATTCAAAACTGTATTAAGTACCTACAAAAATTATTAACCTTTGAATTGTTTAAGGATTTGGAAATTGTTTACAAAGAAAAGAAAGAAAAAAGACTTTGTGAATGTAACAAAATAAACAAAAAAATGCCATCCTTGTAAATAATTATATTGATAAAACAAGTTATTAAAAAAAAACAACAACAAATGTTTTTTAATTAGTTTAAACTGTGGCTAACCGAATGTGTGCAATCTTCTGAATACATTATCTATATTCAATTTATTTTCTAAAGTTAAAATATCATATCACTTGTTAAATATATCAATAACATTAAGTTATTTCTTAAAGTTCTTCCAAATCGGTTCCATCAATTTCTTCTTGATAAAATGTCTCTTTCTTAAATTGTTAAACAAACGTACCGAAAAGAAATAAATAAATTCAATAATACTTAAACTCGAAATGCCCATGAAAAGACCAAAAATGCCACCACAATTTGCTATTAAAGTAGTAACACCAAACATCACGGTACGTTTAATAGCGGTAAATTGGGGTTCTTTGAAATAAACTGAAAAACGTGAAGCACGACCACTGTAAAAAATAAAAGTTAAAAAAAACACATTTAAATATATAAATGATTTCAGGGATGCTAAACATACATCGTGTTCATATGAATCTCTTTGGGCAATAACTGTTTTCTCAAATCATAATGGGCTCGTGATATTTCAAAATTATAATCCAACGAATTGCACGAAGGCATACAATCACACATTATTTTCACATTTGAATTGATAAGTTCTGTTTAGTTTGATTGGCAATTATGATATTCATTCATCAGCAGCATGACTATAGCAATCAACTTGCGCCAGGCTACAGACCGGGGTGTCCAAGGGTTCTGCAATGTAATTAAAAATGAAAATTTCTGCAAACGAAAGTAGCTGAAACTGATTTTTAAAAAAAAAACTTACTAGGCATCCAAAATTTAGCACAGCCACATTTATTTATTGTATAATTAGCCAAACACTCCGTTTGACAATTACTTTGGGAATACGATTTGAAGTAGCGCAATAACGTTCATCATTGAAATAACACTGGCGCCTTAACAAGAAGGAAACCATTGTGAAATAATCTTAATTTATAGAATTTTGTTAAAAATCAAACTCACTTTTCGGGACCAAAGTATGTAAATTATCTGTAGATATAACATATTGTGGTATAATCGATACTAAAACTTCTCATCGTGTGGTACTAAAATATAGTTTCCCGATGTTAAGGGTACACTTTCGGGTGAATTTAGGAATACCTTAAATAAATTGAAATGACATTTAGAGCTTTCTTAGACGATATGTTTATCCCCATCAAAAGATAATATCCAGACTAGTATACACTATAGGACTATGCACTAAACTACAAACTAGAGTATAAACTAGAAAATAGACTAGACTCTAGACAACACTATAGCCTACACTATATACTAGACTATAGACAAATTAATCGGTTAAAGTCAATACTATACTAGTCTATAGTCTATACTATAGACTAGACCATAGACTAGATTAATACAATACTATAAAGTAAACTAAACTAGACTAGACTATAGTTAGGCTATAGTCTAGTCTATAGTTTAGTTTACTTTATAGTATTGTATATAATCTAGTCTATGGTCTAGTCTATAGTATAGACTATAGACTAGTATAGTATTGACTTTAACCGAGTATATTGTCTATAGTCTAGTCTATAGTGTAGGCTATAGTGTTGTCTAGAGTCTAGTCTATTTTCTAGTTTATACTCTAGTTTGTAGTTTAGTGCATAGTCTATAGTGTATACTAGTCTGGATATTATCTTTTGATGGTGGGTATAAACATATCGTCTAAGAAAGCTCTAAATGTCATTTCAATTTATTTAAGGTATTCCTAAATTCACCCGAAAGTGTACCCTTAACATCGGGAAACTATATTTTAGTACCACACGATGAAGAAGTTTTAGTATCGATTATACCACAATATGTTATATCTACAGATAATTTACATGACTTTGGTCCCGAAAAGTGAGTTTGATTTTTAAACAAAATTCTATAAATTAAGATTATTTCACAATGGTTTCCTTCTTGTTAAGGCGCCAGTGTTATTTCAATGATGAACGTTATTTGCGCTACTTCAAATCGTATTCCCAAAGTAATTGTCAAACGGAGTGTTTGGCTAATTATACAATAAATAAATGTGGCTGTGCTAAATTTTGGATGCCTAGTAAGTTTTTTTTTTCAAAAATCAGTTTCAGCTACTTTCGTTGCAGAAATTTTCATTTTTAATTACATTGCAGAACCCTTGGACACCCCGGTCTGTAGCCTGGCGCAAGTTGATTGCTATAGTCATGCTGCTGATGAAATGAATATCATAATTGCCAATCAAACTAAACAGAAACTTATCAATTCAAATGTGAAAATAATGTGTGATTGTATGCCTTCGTGCAATTCGTTGGATTATAATTTTGAAATATCACGAGCCCATTATGATTTTGAGAAAACAGTTATTGCCCAAAGAGATTCATATGAACACGATGAGTATGTTTAGCATCCCTGAAATCATTTTATATATTTAAATGTGTTTTTTTAACTTTTATTTTTTTACAGTGGTCGTGCTTCACGTTTTTCAGTTTATTTCAAAGAACCCCAATTTACCGCTATTAAACGTACCGTGATGTTTGGTGTTACTACTTTAATAGCAAATTGTGGTGGCATTTTTGGTCTTTTCATGGGCATTTCGAGTTTAAGTATTATTGAATTTATTTATTTCTTTTCGGTACGTTTGTTTAACAATTTAAGAAAGAGACATTTTATCAAGAAGAAATTGATGGAAACCGATTTGGAAGAACTTTAAGAAATAAACTTAATGTTATTGATATATTTAACAAGTGATATGATATTTTAACTTTAGAAAATAAATTGAATATAGATAATGTATTCAGAAGATTGCACACATTCGGTTAGCCCACAGTTTAAACTAATTAAAAAACCATTTGTTGTTGTTTTTTTTTAATAACTTGTTTTATCAATATAATTATTTACAAGGATGGCATTTTTTTGTTTATTTTGTTACATTCACAAAGTCTTTTTTCTTTCTTTTCTTTGTAAACAATTTTCCAAATCCTTAAACAATTCAAAGGTTAATAATTTTTGTAGGTACTTAATACAGTTTTGAATGTTTCTTTACATGAATATTTATATATGTAATTTAAGCAAATTCGTTAAGATTTTTATTTGTCAATAATAAACAATATTATTTATAATCATATATATATATATTTCTTTTATTTAAAATAGTTATTGTTAGAAAATTATTATTGTAACTTGATGAATTTAAATAACACTTAAGATATCATGTTTTTTTATTAATGCAAATTTATATTTTTCTAAATATGTATTTATGTATGTATGTATGTATGTATATGCAAATATGTATGTATTTATGTCGTTAGTAGTTTTATTTTAGAATTTAATAGAACTAAATTATCTGTAATTAAAAAATAATAAAAAGTTTTATGGATTATTAAACGATAGGCGGAGATTGAGCTTAGTCCACAGACTAGTCAATAAACTAGTCCACGGGATAGCTAATGGACTAGTATATAGATTAATGATGTAATAAACAGCTAGGTAAAGATTTTACTATTTAAAAAACTAATTCATAGACTAGTCGATAGAGTAGTCCACAGACTAGACAATCGACTAGTAATCAAAGGACTAGTTCGTATACTTGTCAGTAGAATAGTCCTTTGGAATAGTCGATAAACTAGTTCGAGTACTAGTTCATTGACTAGCTAATAGATTAGTCTACAGACTAGCCAATAGCCTAATACACAGACCAGTCAATAGACTTGTCCACAGACTAGTCAATAGACTTGTCCACAAACTAGTCAATAGACTTGTCCACAAACTAGTCAATAGACTTGTCCACAAACTAGTCAATAGACTAGCCCATACATAGACTAGGCAATAGACTAGTACACAGACAACTCAAAATACTAGTCCACCGACTAGTCCATCGAATGGTCCATAAACTAGGCAATAGACAAACTAATCAATGGACTAGACTTATCAATGGTCTAGTCCACAGGCTAATCAATAGACTAGTACACAGATCAATAATTTAATCAATAGACTGGTTCAAAGATAAACAATAGACTAGTCAATAAACTAATCCAATGACTAGCCAATAGACTAGTCCTAAAACTAGTCCACAAACTAGTCAAAAGGTTTGTCTAAACACTAGTCAATAGACTAGCCCCCCAGATTACTCTACATACTAGTCCCTAGACTAGTCAATAAACTACTCAATAGACTAGACCATAAACTAAACAATAGAATATTCCACAAACTAGTTAATAGATTAGTCCACAGACGCGTCAATAGACTAGTCCTCAAACAAATCAATAACTAGTCCACAGATCAACAATTTGGTAAACAAACTAGACTATAGCTCGATATTGAGATTAGTTCACAAACCAGTCCACAGACTAGATAATAGGCTAATCAGAAGATTAGTCCACAAATTATTCAATAGACTAGTCAACAGAACAGAATTATATGGTCAACAGACTAGACTTAGTCTATATACTAGTCCATAGTCTAGTCAATAGAATAGTCCATAGTCTGCTCAATAGACTAATCCAAAAAGACTGCAAGATTATATCGTCTCATTTGTCTTGAAAATTTAATTTGATATCAAACAAAAAATCTAGTTTCATAATAATTTTTAAAGAAACTTTTTTTCATTTTATTGTAAAATTAAATAATTATAGTTTTATTTCTTTATTTATAATATACATATATTTTTCTTTGCAAATTATTATACACAAAATACTGTTAACAAATTGTTTAAACAAAACAGGAAATTTTAAAAGATTTTTTTTATTTTTCTTTTTTTTTTAACTTAAATACAAAGAAAACGTAAAGGAATAAAGAAAGAAAACAATTATGGAAACACAAATTGTAACTTAATTTATATTGTTGTAATAAAAAAAAAAAACAAAATAAAACAAGATAAAAAGGAAACGTTAATAAAAAACAAAAATAACAATATAAGAGTTAGAAATATGAAACTGGATGAACAGTTGTTGTTGAAGATGTTTGATAGAGAAAAAAAAAGCCGCCGCCACAGCTTTATATTCCAAATTAGCTGTTATAAACTGCTATTTAATTGTTTCTTTGTTATAATTCTTAATTAAAATGTTGTTGGTGTAGTTAAAGGGTTTTTTTTACAATACATATACATTTTGGTTAGTTGGTTGATAGTTTAGTTTCATTCTTACTCTTCTTTTTTTAAATTTTACAAATACATCTATTATATATTATTTGTTTTTTTTTGTAGTTAAAAATTAAGCTAAACAATTACTTAAGAAGGTTTGTTTTTGTATTTATTGTGGTTTATGTTCTTTAGTTGGGGTTTTTAAACGTTTTGTTTTTTGACTTTTTCTTAATTAGAATGTCTTCTAGCAGAGGTTTTGTTCTTAACATTAACATAACATTTCATTTAGTTTATTTTTTTTTTTTTACATTTTAGCTGATTCAATCATATCAATGTTGAGTTTATAGAATACATAGGGATAGTATTCAGATTGGCCAAAACCTAAACCGGGTATATCAACAGTCTGTGAATGGAGGTAGGGAAGAAACAATAAAATATTATATAGCTATTCATTACATTCAATGTAAACATTATGACTTACATCAGCAGCATTGCCAGCTTGACCAGCAGCTGAAGCACCATCCAAGTGTCCATACAATTGATTTAAGCAATCACGTAAACGTTTCATGCTCTTCTTGTTGGGTTCAATAAGAATGGCTTGGAAATTAACTGGTAAACCGTATCTGAGAGAAAAACAAAGGGAAAATATTATTAGAACAGTCTTCAAGGTCTTAGTTATCTCCACTACTATAGACTGGACTATAGTCTAGTTTAATCTATAGTCTAGCCTAAAATCTAGTTTATAGTCTAGTCTATAATCTAATCAATAGCCTAGTCTATTGCCTAGTCTCCTTCTAGTCTATAGTCAAGTATGCAATCAAGTACATAGTCTAGTCTATAGTCTATTCTATAGTCAAGTCTATAGTCTAGTCTATAGTCAAGTATGCAGTCTAGTCTATAGCCTAGTCTATAGTCTAGCCTATACTCTAGTCTGTAGTCTAATTTATAGTGTAATCTTTAGTCTAGTCTATAGTCAAGTATGCAGTCTAGACAATAGTCTAGTCTATAGTCTAGACTACTCTATAGTTTAGTTTATAATCTAGCCTATAGTCTAGACTAAAGTCTAGTCAATAGCCTAGTCTAGTCTATAGTCTAGTCTATAGTCTAGTCTATAGTCTAGTCTATAGTCTAGTCTATAGTCTAATCTATAGTCTAGTCTATAGTCTAGTCTATAGTCTAGTCTATAGTCTACTCTATAGTCTAGTCTACAGTCTAGTCTATAGTGTAGTCTATAGTGTAGTTTATAGTCTAGACTAGAGTCTAGACTAGAGTCTAGACTAGAGTCTAGTCTATAGTCTAGTCTATAGTCTAGTCTATAGTCTAGTCTATAGTCTAGTCTATAGTCTAGTCTATAGTCTAGTCTATAGTCTAGTCTATAGTCTAGTCTATAGTCTAGTCTAGTCTATAGTCTAGTCTATAGTCTAGTCTATAGTCTAGTCTATAGTCTAGTCTATAGTCTAGTCTATAGTCTAGTCTATAGTCTAGTCTATAGTCTAGTCTATAGTCTAGTCTAGTCTAATAGTCTAGTCTATAGTCTAGTCTATAGTCTAGTCTATAGTCTAGTCTATAGTCTAGTCTATAGTCTAGTCTATAGTCTAGTCTATAGTCTAGTCTATAGTCTAGTCTATAGTCTAGTCTATAGTCTAGTCTATAGTCTAGTCTATAGTCTAGTCTATAGTCTAGTCTATAGTCTAGTCTATAGTCTAGTCTATAGTCTAGTCTATAGTCTAGTCTATAGTCTAGTCTATAGTCTAGTCTATAGTCTAGTCTATAGTCTAGTCTATAGTCTAGTCTATAGTCTAGTCTATAGTCTAGTCTATAGTCTAGTCTATAGTCTAGTCTATAGTCTAGTCTATATCTAGTCTATAGTCTAGTCTATAGTCTAGTCTATAGTCTAGTCTATAGTCTAGTCTATAGTCTAGTCTATAGTCTAGTCTATAGTCTAGTCTATAGTCTAGTCTATAGTCTAGTCTATAGTCTAGTCTATAGTCTAGTCTACGTATTCTAGTCTATAGTCTAGTCTATAGTCTAGTCTATATGTCTAGTCTATAGTCTAGTCTATAGTCTAGTCTATAGTCTAGTCTATAGTCTAGTCCTATATTCAGTCTAGTCTATAGTCTAGTCTATAGTCTACTCTATAGTCTAGTCTATAGTCTATCTATAGTCTAGCTATATCTAGTCTATAGTCTAGTCTATAGTCTAGATCTATAGTCTAGTCTATAGTCTAGTCTATAGTCTAGTCTATAGTCTAGTCTATAGTCTAGTCCTATAGTCTAGTCTATAGCTAGTCTCTATGTCCTAGTCTATAGTCTATCTATAGTCTAGTCTATAGTCTAGTCTATAGTCTAGTCTATAGTCTACTAGTCTACTCTAGTCTAGTCTATAGTCTACTCTATAGTCTAGTCTATAGTCTACTCTATAGTCTAGTATATAGTCTAGTCTATAGTCTAGTATATAGTCTAGTCTATAGTCTAGTATATAGTCTAGTATATAGTCTAGTCTATAGCCTAGGCTATAGTCTAATCTATAGTCTAGTCTATGGTATAGTCTATAGTATAGTCTATAGTCTAGTCTATAGTCTAGTCTATAGTCTAGTCTATAGTCTAGTCTATAGTCTAGTCTATAGTCTAGTGTATAGTCTAGTCTATACTATAATCTTGTCTATAGTCTGAAGTGAAAATCTATGGCTTTAAGAAAAATGTTTGCTAAAAAAATGCATCTTCACTTACCTCAATACAGATTCAACAAATACACGCAAAGCCTTAACGTGTATTAAAGCACAGAAAGCTTCACTGAAGTTAACCTTCAACCATCTAACCAAAGGACCCTTTTATGAATAAAAAACACAAAAAAATATGATTAAAATTGTCTTTTTTAAATAATCAAAATCAACTTACAAATTGCTTCTTCTTGTCGGTAATCAATTTAGTTCTTTCATTTTGACCAGCAGCCAATTCTTCTTCATTGTAAACGAAATCACGTACAATGAATTTCTTTTCGCGGGCATGTAATTTAAACTCTTCTACGACCTTCTTAAACAAGGTCACATTGTAGAGACAGTAATCATTGTCTTGGGTAATCAAAGTCGATGAACGAGGCACAATCATATCGGTGATCTTTTCATAATTAGCCATCCACTCGTTGGCCAACATTCTGGAATAGGTAAAAGTAATTTAATTGAAATAATCAAAATGATATTTATTTAATTCACTATAATGACACTTACTTGGGTACAATCACCAAGAGAGTGGTTAAATATTCAGAATCCAAAATGAAATGTTCCTTTTTAACCAAATCGGCCAAATTACGGGTCAACAAACTGCCACTAATTGATAAAAAAAAATAACAACAATAGTTTAATTAATAGTTTGTTATTTACTTTCAAAGAATTTCAACTTACGTTTGTTTCTTTTCCAAATTTTGCAAACTACCCTTAAGGTTATTGTAGGCATTCGATTTTGTTTTCAAATCAGCATCGATTTGGCCGATTTGTTTGGAAATAATATCGGCAATGTTGCGCAAAGATTGCTTAATTGGATACTTGGCCATGTCCCATTGGAAGCGTGTAATATACACAGATAAATCGGCTAAACAATGTTAAAATATTTCGATTAGTTTTTTTTTTTTTATAAATATTTGTTTTATAAAACATATATATATTTAATTAAAGGCACAATTAAACAATTTAGTTTAATTAAAGCTAAGTGTAAGTATTACTACTATAAGAGATATTTAAAAATTATTTGAGTTTTTATTATTTAAATTATATTTAATATACTAATTTAAAGTAAATTAAAATTGTTAAAATTATACTTTTTGTTTTGAATTTTGAAAACGTTTTATTTGTAGACAGAATTACACATTACAAAATATATACATTTACAAACAAACATACACACACTGATGCAAATAAATTGCTTATTAATATTTTATTAAATTTAAACAATATACAGCAATCGTAGTAGTTTTTTTTTTATAAATAAAAATTACGCAAAAGTTGTTGATTTTAAAAAGTAATAAAATTTGTTGGAGATTTGAAGTTTTTTTAATGTTTAAGAAAGTTTTGATTATATAAAAATTATCGGTAAATATCAATAACAACAAAGTCTAAGGTCAACTATGTAAAATTTTCAGTTGACGTATACTTATTAATTTGTATTGTTAATACTCATACGTTTAGGTGGAGCTCATCAAAATATTTGGTTCACGGTGCGTATGATTAACAAAAAAAACTTATACCAATTTATTTTTTGCTTCTGATTTAGTTCAGTTCCAGTTCATTTCTAGTTATGATTTAGTTCAGTTATAGCTCATTTCTAGTTCAGTTTTAGTTCAGTTCTAGTTTAGTTCTAGTTCAGTTCTTGTTCAGTTCTTGTTCAGTTCTAGATCAGTTCCAGTTCAGTTCTAGTTCAGTTCTAGTTCAGTTCTAGTTCAGTTCTAGTTCAGTTCTAGTTCAGTTCTAGTTCAGTTCTAGTTCAGTTCTAGTTCAGTTCTAGTTCAGTTCTAGTTCAGTTCTAGTTCAGTTCTAGTTCAGTTCTAGTTCAGTTCTAGTTCAGTTCTAGTTCAGTTCTAGCTCAGTTCTAGTTCAGTTCTAGTTCAGTTCTAGTTCAGTTCTAGTTCAGTTCTAGTTCAGTTCTAGTTCAGTTCTAGTTCAGTTCTAGTTCAGTTCTAGTTCAGTTCTAGTTCAGTTCTAGTTATGTTCTAGTTCTGTTCTAGTGTTGTTCTAGTTCTGTTTTATTTCTGTTCTAGTTCTGTTTTATTTCTGTTCTAGTTCTGTTCTAGTTCTGCTCTAGTTCTGTTCTAGTTCTGTTCTAGTTCTGTTCTACTGTTCTAGTTCTGTTCTAGTTCTGTTCTAGTTCTGTTCTAGTTCTGTTCTAGTTCTGTCTAGTTCTGTTCTAGTTCTGTTCTAGTTCAGTTCTAGTTCAGTTCTAGTTCTGTTCTAGTTCAGTTCTAGTTCTGTTCTAGTTCAGTTCTAGTTCTGTTCTAGTTCTGTTCTAGTTCTGTTCTAGTTCTGTTCTAGTTCTGTTCTAGTTCTGTTCTAGTTCTGTTCTAGTTCTGTTGTAGTTCTAGTTCTGTTGTAGTTCTAGCTCTAGTTCTGTTCTAGTTCTGTTGTAGTTCTGTTCTAGTTCTGTTCTAGTTCTGTTCTAGATCTGTTCTAGTTCTGTTCTAGTTCTGTTCTAGTTCTGTTCTAGTTCTGTTCTAGTTTCTGTTAGTCTAGT